TGACAGGACAGCACACGTGTTATCGTTAGACAGCTTTTTAAACTGTGTTAACTTGTGTGTGTTTCATGGAGTCAACTGGCTGACCTTCAAAGCATTTTACTACAGAGTGAGAACTGAGTAGCACTTCAAGCACTTTCTATCACATACCAATTACCTAATAATTATGTGTTTGAACGGAGGAAGGTGGAGTGTTGTGGGATAACCCAGGCAAACCTTAGCCTGTGCAAATGTTGCCCATCACTTTCACACAGGAAATACTCAATTTGTGCTTTAAACTGATTTCACTGGGACAGATGTCATTCAAAATACAGATGTTTCCCTCTGCCTCCACGTGAGATAGACGTTCAGTTGCTGTTAGACCCATATAGACTTTTTGTGTCATGGTGACGTTTACACAAAGAATGTATCAGGGATTAGTTTACAAGATTGGAAATATATCAACTACACAAGTGACACAAAGTAAAGGAGATGGTGGCGAGTCACGAGTGTGTCCACAAACCTTTAGGTCAAGATGAACTACATTGTTCTGGTGGAGGAAGGCCACTCCCTCCAGGATCTGTCTCATGAGCCTCTTCACGTCTTCCTCACTGAAGGCCTCATCCTCTTGGTCTGACACACACTGGTTGAAAATTTCTCCTCCAGCCGCACTGCAACCAAAGACACATGACGTGGGACAGATCAGTTGCAAAGCTGTTGACTGGCCCTCTGTAACGTGTCAGCGTCAAAGTATCTTACACCATTCAGGCCTGCAGACCCTCAGAGAGACAAACATTTCCATGTGTAATTCTGGGGTTGGCTGTAGGAGGGAACTGAACCAACCCAAACTACAGACTGTATCCTTGTTTCATCCATAATTTGACCGAAATGAATATGAAGCTTGTCCTACGTGATTACTTTGTATGGCGAATCCCACGAGACCCAGCAGAAATAACCCCCTCTCTGACCTGTCTGTGTTCTGACTTGTTGGAGGTGGAGGCAGAAATAGCACATCAAATCCAAATATAGCAAACTAATTATGAGCTTGAATGGGGCCATTTACACTGCTGGTGATAACTTGTTATTTTATTCAGTCGCACACAAATAAAAAGGGTTATAATCAAAATACAAACAATCAAACTTACTGAACCTCTACATCTAACTTTAATTTCTTCTGACCGGATGTAAACTCAATAAACTCGGTTCAAAATATAAAGTGAGGGCAGTCAGGAATAGACAACGGGTCCCCTTAGGGTGCTGGTGAATTAGGCTTTATCTCAGAGGAAGGCAGAGAGGAGAAGGAAGAGGTTTGTGTGACTGCGTTTTTGGTTTGCACGTTGGGAAGAAAAGTCTGGGTTAGAACTGTTGAGTCCTAATCAAAGCCAAATGTCACAGTTCCTGACAGGAAACCCAGTCTGAACACTGACCAAGGTGTGAGGCACTAGTGAAGCCCAGCTACAGTATAACTACGCACTTCACACATTGAGATCCAGGACCTGAGTGAAGGGTTAAGTCAAACATTTCCAGAAGAGCGATTCTGGTTTTTCATTTGTAAATTCCCAAACTTCAACCTGACCAACAGATTCCAGTCTCCAAGACCAGTCTACATTCCCTGGACCATTTTTTAAAAAACACTGGATATCATAAAGCTTCAAGTTTAAAAGGTCTGCTCATGACACTGAAAAATGTGTTTTTTATTTTTTATTGTTCCA